CTGTGAAGCACTGGCAGTGTCCGTGGAGAAAATGTATAAAATGTAACGTTTTTGAAATGGATGCATCTGACTGGTTGCATCTGAATTGAGGCGCGTAATAAATAATGATACTGTTCTGTGAGGATGTGCAGTTTTCTCTTTTTTTCCCCATCCCATCGAGACCGCTATGTCCGAGACCAAGACAAGACCGAGACCACAAAAAATTGGTCTCGAGACCAAGACCGGTCTCGAGAACTACAACACTAGTGAATAACCAGAGATTTTACAGGAGATGGTCAGAGGTTCTCCTGGTTTACAGTCACTGAATCTGGCTGAGTGATTTCGATATTGCAATGTGCACCTGTAAAAAAATAAGATTATTAACTTCATTAATTGATACAAAATTTTAAAATGCAACAGTATATAGAAAAATAAGAACATAAACACTGGAGTTTGAGTAAAAAGAAAATATATTTATAAAGTAGAGTGATCTTACATGAAAAGAAAGGCATTAAAAGTATCAGGACTCTCAGAGCTTCCATTGTAACACAAAGTCTTTGGCTGATTTGATGGTGAAGTCTGTGTGTTTAGAGGAACCTCATTTATATGAAGGGCAGGTGGGTGAATCTGTTTACCTCCCTGAGGGATTGAAGGAGCCTCTTAATAAATACAGATGGTCATACTTGCCTCTGTAAGGAGCTCTGCTGCCCCCATATGGGGAAAAACTACAAAATTAAGAAACATTTTTCAAGAAATCCATCCTTTCATCTCCCAGCCGCTTATCCTGATCAGGGCCTCAGGGGGTCTGGAGCCCATCTCAGGTGGGGGTACATCCTGGGCGGGCTGCCGGTCCATCTCAGGTGAGGGTACATCCTGGGCGGGGTGCCGGTCCATCTCAGGTGGGGGTACATCCTGGGCGGGGTGCTGGTCCATCTCGGGTTGGGTTATGCCCTGGGCGGGATGCCAGTTTATTTCAGATTTTTCATGAAATCTAGCTGTTAAATAAAGAGAAAAGAAACTGTGACTGTTTGAAGAATTTTTATTCTTTTTACAGGTAATTTTAATTGGAATACTTTTGCAAAATTTTATTATCAAATAAAGTATGTTTCACATTTTTCTGATTATACATTATATACAGTATGTTTGTGTGTGTGTGTGTGTGTTTGCCCCAGATTGTTAGATGTTATTTACCCTCCATGTGTACTAAATGGACCAACTCGTGTGGCTCTACTCGTTTTTGTGGTGATGAACAAATGGCCCTGACTTGATGGTTCCAAACACCAGTTGGTGTAAGACTATCACCACTGCCACCAGTTGAGTTTTCATGATATATTTTGGAACTGGGGGCGGCACGGTGGTGCAGTGGTTA